GGCTCTCCTGCCTCTTCCACCTCTTCTCCAAGAAACCAGAGGGCAGGAAATCAGTGGGAGAGGGGGAGACCGAAAGAAAAGGCACCTTTGGGGCTGGCCCAGACCCTCCTGCTGCACCCACGGGGTCCCATCTGCTCTCAGACCCAGCCCACTCGTGCCACCCATGGGCTGTTCAAACACCTGCAAAGGAAAAAAAAAACATCAACAGCTCCTCTCTTCCCGCCCCATCCAGATAGGGATATTCCTGCTACTCCCAGATCCTTTTTTCAACAACACCGAGGGCAACTTCAGCAGTGTGAAATGGATATGGAGAGAGGAATTTGGTGCCTGTAAGCATCTGCTCTCTCCTTGCCCCCAAAAAATGCTGGGACTGGCTCTCAGTGATCAGGAGGGGTTTTTTTTCGGGTGGCTGGACAATGTGGAGGGGCTGGACAGCTTTGGTCCAGCTTCTGGAATGGTTTTATCTTCATATTAGATGGGGAATTGAGGCAGAGRACCATAAAAATCAGCCTGGGCATAACTTGGAGTGTCTGAACATGTTTTTGCCCCACCCCTCATTAGTTTCCCTCATTTTTSTCCCTCATTAACATCTCTTTTCTGSTGGATCAGTGCCYCAGACCAGGGGYRGTGSTACCCTGGGTGGGGAAGGGGCTGCTCTGCTCGAGCATCCCAAAGGAAACTCTGATCCTGCTGCAATCCTCCCTGGGAAAACCACAACATTTTTAAAAGCTCCTCAGGAAGCAGAGAAACAATGCCTGCCCCCAGAGGGAAACTGAGGCACACAGGGAAAACATTTGATGAATCCGTGCTGGGGGTCTCAGTCTGTGGGATTTCGGAGCATGAATCGACCTGGGGGTGTCCATATGGACAATCCTGAGCTTTTGGGGTTTGTGCTGGGTGACCTGAGGGCRATTTCCTGCCCTCAAGGGGGGTGAAGGCGGCCACAGCCCCTGACTCAGCTCTCCCTGGGACCGAGGGAGCGGCGAGTTCCCAAATTTGCCCCGTGACGCTGAATCACCCACGTGGGGCAGCCGTGGGGGATTTAATGACCGCTGTCATTAGCRCCAGCCTCATTTCCCCATCCAAACCCATCCCTTCACAGCGGGAGCCCAAACCCACTTACGTTGCAGGGCCGGGGAGGACGCAAAAGCCCTCGGCTGGGAAAACTTTTCTTTAAAAGAACCCCAAATGTCAGCTCTAAATTGGGTGTTACGCGCTCCTGCTCCGTCTCTTCATTACTGTATCGTAAAATTACATTAGCYGGGAACGATCTGCATTCAAATGACTCTGTGTCTGGAATGATAACGCGGGAATATGAGATTAAAATGTAATTATGCTCTTTAAAGTCAAGGAAGGTTAATAAAATGTTTTTCCGAGTTGCAGAGGCTCCGCAGCCGCCACGCAGAATCACTTACGGGAATCAAGGGGAGGATGAGGTGGGAACGGGGAGGGGRAAAAATGGGTAGAAAACACAAAAAGGGGGTTTTGGGGAGGGAAATGTTGGGGTCATCTGGGGTGAGTCATGGGATCAGTGATCCCAGAGAGGGCAGAGGCAGCTGGGAACATCCCTGCAGGGCTGTGGGGCTCCTTAGGATGGTGCTGGGCCCTCATCCTACATCCTGCTCCCAACTGAAGCCTCAGGATCACTCCAAGTCTGACCCCAAATCCTCCAACACCAGCYACAGGGTGCCTTCTCYGTGTCYCCAGCACTGGATTTGCTCTGCCACRTCCCTGTYCTTGGCCAGGCTYTTCCCRTGTGGCYCCAGAGATGTCCCTYCRTTAGTTCTTGTCTCCTAACATGTGTGGGGTGGCTGCCATCCCTATCCTGGCTCCCCTTAGGAATGCAGAAAATCCCAAAAGCCTGACCCGGGCTGGCTCCAATCTGCCCCTTTGCTCAGCCAAAATGCAGCCCCAGCTCTTGCTGAGGCAAAAAAAAAGGGATGGAGCTGCCAGAGGGGCTCAGCCATGGGGATCATGGATCATGGATCTTGGAATTGTTCACGTTGGAAAAGCTCTCCAAGGTCATCGAGTCCCCCAGCACTGCCAAGGCCACCCCTGACCRYGTCCCCAAGTGTCACATCCACAGGGCTTTTCAATCCCTCCAGAGATGCCTGATCACCGTTCCCATGAAGAAATCCTCCCTAATATCCATTCTAAACCTTCCCCTTAATTAACAGCGTGAACTTCGTTAGCTGGGGAGCCCCCAGYGAGGTTTGTGAGAGGCAGGAGAAAGGATGGAGGTGACTCTGCTTGGCTGCAGCACAGAGAGCTCCCAGTGCCAAAGTTTAACCAGGATAAATAAGAGCGATGACATTTAATCAGGATAAATTAAGGGGATGTTGGAAAATGGGATGAATTTCACTGATTTGTGCATTTCCCTGCCTTTGCCGTGGCTGGAAGGGGGTGCAGCAGGGAAGGAGAAATTTCTTGAATGCATCACTGCTGTGCTGAGGACACGGAGAGAGGGTCAGGCTGGCAAGGGAGAGCTCCCTGCTCCTTCCTGGGAGCGCTAATGCTCCTCAAATGGATCTGATCTGCCACAGGCACGTCACCATCACCACGATAATTGCTGGGGGTGTGGGGAGGGGGATCCTGCACCTCCTGCCCCAGCAGGCACCTCCTCCTCCTCCCACATCTCGGCTCAAAGATGCTCCTCTGCTTCCCTGACAGCTGGAAAACAGCTTTGATGCCTCTCTGAGGGCAGCACAGCCAACACGAGATGGGCTGGGGCGCTGCTTTGATCGTTTCCACGGCCAAATCCGTCCTGCTGGGATGGGGACATCACGGCTGGAGGTCCCTGACCAACAAGGGATGGATTTGTCCAAGGAAAGGCTCGAAGGACAGCATTAGAGGAAATTGCTCATGCCACAATCAAAGGCTGTTCCCACCTCCCAGGGAGAAGGCAGGCT